CCAATTTACCCTTTAACATCCATAATATTCACATTTTGGTAACCCAAATTTCCTTTATTTCACTACACAAGAGCTATAATGTCTAGAATACACATAATACTTAAATATATTCTGATTTTATTTCATAAACACTTTCTATTTCTCATCCTAGTATATCACACTTTATTAGAGGAGTAACCTGTAGGATCTCTCTAATAAATCAAAAGGCCCCATTTTTTAAACCTAACTCTAGTTTTCTCAATTTCCCACTTCTAATGACACCTATACTGCACAGGCGGTCCTCGACTTACACCAGTTCATTTAGTGACCGTTCAAAGTTACAACAGGACTGAAAAAAGTACCATTTTTCACAGTTACGAGCTTTGCGGCAGCCCCATGATCGTGTAAATCAAAATTCAGACACTGGGCAACTGGTTCATACTTATGACCGCCACTGTGTCCCAAGGTCGTGCGACCAGCTTTTGCGACCTTCTGATCAGCAAACTCAGTGGTGTTGTTGATTCACTTAACAACCGAGTTACTATGATCAAACAGCAGCGATTCTGTGGCAAGGAAGGTCGTAAGATGGGGCAAAATACACTTAACAAATGTCTCACTTAGCAACGAAAATTTTGGGCTCCGTTGCGGCCGTAAGCCGAGGACTACCTGTATCAGCAATTACAGTAAATGTAATCCACCTTTGGGGGTTCAGAAATGCCAGCTCGCAGGAGCTGAACTAATGACAGCTGGTTCACAACTTGCCCTCATTCACAGATTTCTGACTGCTGGCAGCGTTTTCACACCCTCTGGTGCCAGCTTGAAAACGGAGTCAGTTCACACTTGTTTGTCTGAGTCATCAATTGTCGAAGAAGGTGATTTTGGCAACAAAAAAAAGAAGTGAAATCAAACAATCCACTTAGGCGTGTCAGCCGGTCCTCAGCAAGTCATGGGATCATTCCTTCCAGCGCTGAAAAAAATGACTTCAAAGATTGGAAGATGGTTTTCGTGTTTTTAATCATCAGATCACAAGTTCTTATTTTTATATAGATCCAGGGAGGTTGCTGCGACCTTTGCGATTGTTTTAGAGGGTCTCCTTTTTCTACTCGTTTCCAACTTACTTCTTTTGAAGGAGTTGAGTTCCCCCTTAGGTGTCTCCCTAATTTCTGATTCTAGAAGGTGTTGGTTGTGGATTCCTGGGTGCTTTCTAACATTTCTTGCAAACGTTTCATTACCAGACTAGGTAACGTCATCAGTGTGGAAGGGAGTGTGGATGGCTCCCCTGATAAACCAAGCCAGGGTCCAAAAACTTTAGAGAATTCCTGGAAGTCTGGCAGTCAGATATATCAGCCATCAACAGGCACATAGCGATGAGCAACGTTTACATACCATTCAAAAGAGACAATAAAAAAAGGCCAGAAGGAAAGAAAAAGACCAAAACGCCTCTTCGGCAGCAGTCAACACCCAAATACGCAGAGATTAACACCACACTAGACCCACAATCAAGAAGTAAACAGTTCTCCTCCTCTTCCTTTACTCCACAAACCCATCTCTCTTCTAGCACTGATGATGTTACTAGTTGGGTCTTGAAACATCCACAAGAAAACATCCAATCTCAGAGAGGTTGGACCTCACAGTCATCCTCCTCCTCCTCCTCCTCCTCCTCCTCCTCTTCCTCTTCCTCTTCCTCCTCCTCCTCATCCCAAACCCCAAATCCATAAAAACCAACCAAATTCAAGAGAACACCCAGGACCCCACAGTTCAACCTTGAGCGACAGATCTTCTCTTCCATCAAGGTTGCTTGTCCACCATGTTTCTTCTCCTTTCTGCAGCCAACAACATCTGCTTCTATGGAGAGTGCTCCTACTACTGTTCGACAGAACACGCCCTTTGTGGCAAACCGGACCAGATCGAAGGCTCCATGGCCGCCTTCTTGCCTGACTTGTCTTTAGCCAAGCGGAAAACCTGGAGGAACCCATGGCGACGCTCCTACCATAAGCGCAAGAAAGCCGAGTAAGTGTTGTGGTTAAGAGGCGGCCCGTGGCTTCTGCTGCCACCCCCCCATGCAGCAGGCCATCAGTTCTCCATTGTTGCCCAGCCAGACGTTAATTCCACCACCGCTGAGCAGAAGAAAGTCATAAGTCTGCCCAACGCGGCAGAGACACCGTGGGAAGACAAAGAGCAGAGGCTGGGCGGAGGCATTTGAATGGCCCACGCCTTCATTTAACCCAGACAATTTGGCTGTGGAGTTTGTTCTAAAATCTAAAACCAAAACACAACAACCTCGGGGTTTCCACTGAGCTGGACCAAAACTTTAGCACCCGTTAAATTAGAATCCAACTTAATTTTGCACTTATTTTGCAGCTATGGAAGAAATAATCTTTTTCCCTGCATTTTTTCGTTCATTCATTCATTCAATTAATATTATCAAATTTATTTGCAGACTATCTGTGGTTCAAGGCAACCCTAGGCAGCTAACAACCATAGGTCATAAATGAATGTATTTATTAATTACATTTGTATGCCACCTATTTTACCTAGGGATGATTCCAGGCAGCTAACAGCCGATAAAACAGTAGGATAGCAAGAGCAGTAGTATTTAGACTTATATACCGCTTCGCGGTGCTTTCACAGCCCTCTCTAAGTGGTTTACAGAGTCAGCAAATTGCCCCCAACAATCTGGGTCCTCATTTTACCGACCTCGGAAGGATGGAAGGCTGAGTCAATCTGGAGCTCGACAGGATCGAACTGCAGGCAGCCAGCAGTCAGCAGAAGTAGCCTGCAGTACTGCATTCTATCCATTGTGCCACGGTGGATAAAACATGAAAGCATTCAAATAGCAAATATTAACACTAAAATTGACTTAAGAATTAACAATGGTGGCAGGGAAGGAAGTTCCCTTCACCTCTTTAGGTATCTGTTAGTCCAGTCCAGATATTGGGATAGGAATATGGAGTCTGTTCTGAACCCTTTCAAGCTACTTTTATTAATACTGAGACTTTTAAAAAAAAATTATTCCCCCCCCCCCGGAAGCTCAGCAAGCTTCTGCTCCTTCTAGAAGATCATAAGTGGGTGGTGGATCATATCTTTAAAATATTGGTGTGCTTATTTCCTCTGTTAAACTCAAACCCAGCCACGCAATCCTTGCAGACCTCAAAACGGAGAGCACGGTTGGTGGCTAAAGTTCCCAATCTGTATTTTTCCTTCTCATCCAGGTGGGAAGTTGATCCGGATTATTGCGAAGAGGTTAAGCAAACGCCACCTTACGACCGGGGTACCAGGATCTTGGATATAATGGACATGACCGTATTTGATTTTCTGATGGGTATGTGTGTCGCTTCCTGAAAAGGAGTCGTACTCTTAGAATTTGGGCAGTTTTAGTGGTAGAACTCGTATAATTGTATTATTATTTTTTTGCTGCTAGTTGTTTTGGCTTATTTTGCAGTGGCGCACCATTAATGACTTTGTTAGGTGACACAAATAGAATAACAGAGCTGGAAGGGGCCGTGGAGGTCTTCTACTCCAAGCCCCTGCTCTACGTAGGAGACCTATACCATTTCAGACATATGGTCGTCCAATCTCTGCTTAAAAACCTCCAGTGTTGGAGCATTCACAACGTCTGGAGGCAGGTTGTTCCACTAGTTAATTGTTCTGTCAGGAAATTTCTTCTTAGCTCTAGGTTGATTTTGATCATGAGATTAAGGGTTATAAGGCAATCCTGTTTCTTCTTGAAAGGCATTGGACAACCATTTTTCCAGAATGGTCTAGGGCAGGGGTAGGCAACCTTGGCTCTTTTATGACTCGTGGACTTCAACCCCCAAAATTCCTGAGCCAGCCATGCTGAGGGGAAAGGGAGAGATTTCCAAGCTGAGCCATGCTGGCTCAGGAATTCTGGGAGTTGAAGTCCACCAGTCATAAAAGAGCCAAGGTTGCCTACCCCTGGTATAGATTGAATTAGAAGACCTTCAAGGTCCCTTCCAGCCCTATTCATCTATGTTCTACGATCATATATTATAATTTGCTTCAGATCTCCAAAGATGCTTTTTCACGAGGCAACTGGACTTTCTTGTTTTTCCTTTGAAGACGTTTCGCTTCTCATCCAAGAAGCTTCTTCAACTCTGACTGGATGATGGGGGAATGGAAGGATTTATAAGATCTCCAACATGATGTTCTGCTAAACATTTTTTTTCTTTTTTTCTTATTTCTCCTGCTCTTTGCAGGTAATATGGATCGACACCATTACGAGACCTTTGAGAAGTTTGGAAATAATACTTTTATTATCCACTTAGACAATGGAAGAGGGTAAGGGGTTGGTGGATCATCCTTAAATCTTCCTTGTTTATTCTTCACCACTTTTCTTTCGCCTGAAAAAAGCATAAACGTGTCCTTATGTGACTTTACCTAAGCATTGGGGGGGTTTTTCTAGCCCAGGAGATGGGCAACCTATACAGGTTGTCCTCATTTAGTGACCATAGCTGGGACTGGCGGTTAAGTGAAGCAAGTTACTTACTAAATGAGACCATGACTGTGCTTATGATCTCAGCTCAACTTTCCATTGCTTTACAGACTTGTGAAGGTCGTAAAGAAAACATGCTATTTTCTTTAAAGGCTTCTGTTGAGGCATGATGCATGCCCACGTTTCCTGCAAAATACCTCTTTGGCTTCAGACCTGAAGTTCAATCCGTGGCTAAAATCATTGCATGAAAGAGAGCATTCAGTCTCTGCCCTGAGTTTTGGCCAAGAATTTGAGTCAGAAAGTATATTTCTAGTGAATCGTCTTTGTGTTCTTCTCTCTTGCAGGTTTGGGAAATATTCTCACGATGAACTGTCTATCTTGGTGCCTTTAAATCAATGTTGCCGGTATTCTTCTTTTTCTTCTTTTCTTTATGGGGAGAATTTGGGGAGAATTTTGGGGGCTGTAAACACGGAGTCCTTGACTTAATGACCATTCCACAAGCATTTGATGTTACAAGGGCACCGAACGAATGGTGGTTATAGCCAGTCCTTAAAGTTCAGGCTGTCTAAACACCCCTGTGATCGGTGATTGATAGATGATAGATAGGAAAGGGGGGAGGAAGGGAGGGAGGGAAGATAGATAGATAGATAGATAGATAGATAGATAGATAGATAGATAGATAGATAGATAGATAGATAGATAGATAGATAGATAGATAGATAGATGGATGGTAGGTAGGTTGAGAGAGAGAGAGAGAGAGAGAGA